CAGTTTAATAACGCAATGTGTATTTGAAAAGTTTATCAGATCTACAGATGCACCCGCACTAAGAGAAAAATGTCGAATTCAAAGTGCATATGTGCATCCCATGCCTCAGGCGCGAAGAGGCCGGAGTGGGGGTCGCCGTGACCGAGAAAAATCGGTTCACCCTCCCATAAAAAGTTATCACTCCAAAAGTGGACAGACTCGATTGGCGCTGTTAAATTGTGATTTAATTAGAGCTCGTTAAATTATAGATACCTGACAATTAAGTGGCTTTGTGTAGCTGGGGCCATTGTCTCTCTAATTAGACAATCCGTTGTTTGAAAACGGGACGCAGCTAAAAATGGTAAGAGAGACTATAAAGTATACAAGGCAAACACGGCCTCATTAGACCGATCGCGGTGGTATTTTAACAATGGTTCTTTGAGTGGAGTTGGCGCATTGATCCGCCGAATTTGCTAATTGATTGGCCATAGATTTTTAGCCTGGCTTTTCGAATCACTTTTTCCAGCTTTCCTGCTTAATTAATACCTACGCCAATTCCGTATAGAGATCACGTAAAGTAAGCCAATTATTTTTGGTTAGTCGATCGTGAGCTGCATCCGGAAAATGACCAAAAATTTTAATTAGTCTGGTGGTGGGATAAAAATTGGTGAGGTCGCCCTCAACAATCCCTTTGAAGTCCGAAAAGTAATTACATTTTCAATCAAAGAGAAAATGGCTGCCGTGCCCGGAGTCCTTTACGCAGACAACCGATGCTTTAATTATACGAGATTAAATTTAATCCAAAATTAATTTAGTAAATTATATTACCCTAACCGGCATAATGGCAGGATGTGCCCGTCCCGGATCCCTCATCACTGGCCAAGGGTGTTTATTTCACAACTTTTAATCTACCTTACGAGTTTCAGCGGATTTTCAATACAAAATGACTGATAGTGTCCGGACAATTTTTATTAGTTTAACTCTTATTACATAATCGGTTGTATTAAAGTGAGAACAACTGAAAATTACCTCTATCGATGTTTGTGACGACTTCAGTCCCTACTTCTGCGCGGTCGGCCCACTTTGCCTTTTCTCACTGTCGGCGTCGCCACTGAACTTTTGAGCAATTTGTGCCAGTCTTGTTCACACACGAGGTTTCCTTGCAACATATAATACCTGGAAAAAACGCCATCATTGGCAAGAGGACATGTCTTGACATCAAAACAATGACTCACCTATCACCGGGAACCAGGGGCGACATGCATTTGCTGCAGACGAAACATTTGATGTGGAATATGTGAAGAGCAGCCGTGGGAGATGTGGGGTTGCTTCCAACTCCAGTCCGCATCACAAACTCGCTGGCGGGGATCATTTGACCACACGCCGAGCAGGCCCCCGAAGTGCCATATAATCTGCGGGTCCAATGAAAAGATGGAAACATCAAATTTCTACCTTCGACACATTTACAAAATTACATGGGAAACCAAAGCTTATTGTTTTACTAGAGGGCTGAGACCGCCCTGAGACTAATTGTTGGTGAAATAAAGTGGACACACTCTTAATGTATGAATAAAGTAGATTTCCGAACACGAAAACGATTCTGTATCATCAGCGATTTGACGAAAAACTAAAATAAGAGAGGTGGCGGTATAATGTTAAAACTTGGAACCGCGTTGCGCTACAACCGGCTGACCGTCAATAACGGGAAGCTTTGACGGTGAAAACAGGTATCTAGATTATCGGCTAGTTAGAA